CCTAAATGTCCAACAATATGATAAAAGTTAAATAAATTACGGTTCAGCCATATGATAGAATTCTACACAGCCATTGAAATATTTTATAGCAATATTAATTGACATGAGAAAATGTTCATGATCTATTTAATGGGAAAAAATAGTTACTAAACAGAATGTTTTCTATGATCCTCAATTTTGGAAAAACAAAGTGTATAAATATTGTATATACATTGTGAATGCCCTCCTGACAAAGAACACTGGGACCACACCAGTAGTGACCAAGCTGGGTTTACTTTTGGTTCAGCATGGGAGAACATACACCATGAATAAGTAGGAGGCATCTCAATAAAGAGGGTGTTAGAAAGGACTCATCATAGGATTTGTGCTTCTGTTAAGTGACTTGCGGAAGGTTTAAGTCAATGGGGCTTGCTCTGGATTAGATACCATCAGGAAGCAGGGATAGTTTTGTGACTGAGTTTCTTAATAAGTATCTATGGGGAGAAAAAAGACTAGAACAGGCTGAAGTTGTAATTTGTTTTTAAAAAGACTGTAATAGTCACTCATATTAGCCAGGATAAGGGCATACTTGGTCATTTTCGTCATTTGGACAGGGTTCATACTTTGTCTGTGTTCAGACATGATTGTGGAGCAGTCCTAATTTTGTCTTAATCCATCACAGACACAGAATGCCCTTATCTGCCATTACCGTTTTGGAAGATGGCTTATGTTCAACAGGAGGACACCGAAGCTTAGTTGTGAGTGCCAGGTCAGCTCCTAGCAACACCTAGGCCCAGGTGATAATACCAGGTCAGCTCCTGGATTTCAGGGACTGATTTTTTTTTTCCACACACATATATAGAAAAGGCTAGAATTAGAATAGTATTATTTATCAGGCTTTTGTGATATTCCAGGCAGTGTTTTAAGTGCTTTGCATATTCTAATGTATTTAATCCTCACAGAAACTCTATGGGGTAGGTACTATTATTATCTCATTTTCCAGATGAGAAAATTGTGGCATGAAGAGCTAAAGTTACGCACTCAATGTATCGTAGTTAGTAAGTTATGGAGCAGAGATTCAACTCAGTGGCTACAGAACCGGTAGCCTTAACCTCTATATTATACTGTCTATGCGTACAATAAATTATCAACAGAGACCACTGCCTTTGAAAGGTGGTGGGAATACATGGGGAAAAGGCGTTTTCCTTTCCTTTTTCTTGCTCTTATTTTCTAAATTGTCTAAAATTAATATGTATTAATTTTTAATCATAAAAAGTAATGATTTATTAATCTACTGATGGAAGCTCTGTTCCCAAAGTTGGTCCCAAATGCAAACCCAAGTCTTTGGTGGTGGCCATGCATCCCTGAACTCTAAATCAAAAGAGAAGAAAAATGGGGGGAGGGAAGCAAAATCCTCCTGAGATTCTCTCTCTCTCTCTCTCTCTCTCAACTCAATTTAGACTACATTAACTGGATTGCAATAAAACGTGGTCGAAGATACACTCTCAGAGGCAGTTCTGTCTCTGAATTAAACAGGCAGAGTGGAAGTTCCCCACAATATGCGTAAGGACAGTTAGGAATAGAGTTGGGAGAACTATAAGGAAATGCCTTAGTCTCTTTCCGTGTGGAAGGATAGCCCACTCCCACCCAGGCCGGCTGAGCAACGCGGGGTTTCTCCCGCTCTAAGACCCAGCCCAGGCACTGAGAGAGGGCACTCCTGCTCCTCAGCCTGCGTGAGGATTGACATTAAAAGGCCAGAAATTCGAGGGACGAGGAGGAACCAAGGTTGGGAGGGAACCATTTGGAGGGACGACTTCAAAATGAAAAGAGTTTCGCCAAAATGTTAAAGGCTCCCAAGAAGATCTGTCAGCTGGTTTTCCTTCTCTTACTTTCGTCCTGCGCTGGCATCACGGCACATGAGACATCCCTGTTCGTTCCCTGCTTAGAGACCAATTTTGGGCCTCCTGAGAGATGCCCACCCACTAGCTGCCGCTCGCTCAGTCATTGCCCCCCCCCAACCCAG